ATCCCTGCCGGTACGAGACTCGAACCCACAACCTTTGGGTTACGAGTCCGACTCTCTAACCATTAGGCCACGACTTCCCCCGTTCTAGCTGTCAATTCAAGGTAATCTGATGAGATTTCCCCCCATGCTTCCTGGAGCATCTCCCACAAGATGGATTGGCTTGATGGAGTCTTCCTCCGTACCATACGGTCAAGCTGCTCCCACAACAGCTCAATAGGGTTCAGATCCGGAGACTGCTGGCCATGCTATTACAGCCAGAATTCTGGCTGACTGCTTATTCTTCAAATATTGCTGACACATTTTGGAGGTGTGTTTTGGGTCATTATCCTGTTGTAGGATGAAATTGGCCCCAATCAAGTGCTGTCCACAGGGTATGTCATGGCGTTGCAAAATCTTCTGATAGCTTTCCTTCCTCAAGGTCCCTTCCACTCTGTACAAATCTCCTATTTTACCACCTCCAAAGCACCCCCAGACCATCACGCTGCCTCCACCATGCTTGACTGAAGGTATTAAGCACTGATCTAGCATCTTCTCATTTGTTCTGCGTCTCACAAATGTTTGATCCGAAGACTTGGACTCATCTGTCCCACAACCAGTCTTCCAGTGTCCAATGTCTGTGCTCTTTTGCCCATCTCAGTCTTTTGTCTTTATTGGCCAGTCTGAGATACAGCTTTTTCTTTGCAATTCTGCCATGAAGTCCAGCATCCTGAAGTCGGCTCTTCACTGTTGATGCTGACGCTGGTGTTTGACGGGTACTATTTAGTGCAGCTGTCAGTTGAGGACCTGTGAGGCGTCTTTGTCTTAAACTACACACTCTCAGATATGTGTGTTCTTGCACAGTTGTGCATCGGGGCCTCCCACTCATTTTTCTGTCCTTGTTAGAGCCAGCCTGTGCTGCTCTCTGAAGGGAGTTGTTAACAGCATGATAAGAAATTTTAAGTTTCCTTGCAATTTCTCGCATTGAGTAGCCAACAATAGGACAACAATAGGTCTCTAGTGAAAGGTCTTTATTTCTTGCCATTTTGAGCCTGTAAACAGACACAACTGCTGATGTTCAGATACTAAACTAACGTAAAGCATGCCATGCTCCCTTGTTTGCTGCATTAGTACAATGCTTCTCAGCTGTGCAACACAATTGCAAAAGGGTTGTCTCATAATCAATTAGCCTTATAAAATGATTAACTTGAATTAGCAGCCCTACCAGGTGATTGATGCAGAGGACTGACAATTGCTAATAATAGGCCTCTATGCAAAAATTTAGATCATTCTTTAAAAATTATCTGATTAATTTTAATTGTTTGTGAAATGGATAAAATTGCTTGTGAGTTGCATGAAAATGTGTTTTTCTTTGGAAAGCAAAGAAATTTGCAAGTGATCCCAAACTTTTGAGCGGTAGTGTATGTATGTATGTGTGTTAGGGCTGTCAAAATGACTGAAAAACTAAATTAGAATTTTCCACTTAAATATTATCAAAATTAGAATTATATTCAAATTTAAAAGGCGTAATTTCAGTTAGGGGGGAAAAAAGCTTTTGGCTTTTCTCTCGAGGCCACAAGAGGGCGCATCGAGCAAAATATTATGCACGTTTCTTCAAAGCGTAATAAAATAACAAAATAACATGACTATCTTTGAAAAAAGTGCATAGTGTTTAAAATAATGTTTATAAACCCTATATAATTAATAAAGTTGCTTAAACAATTAGGAAAAAAACAGGCCCCATGCTGTAAGTATAGTTTAATACAAAGGACCGAAAACCAATCACAAAGAGTAGGCTACTTTCTTCATTTAAAAACATGAGATGCAGTGGGATGGGGAAAAACCGCCATAACATCTTTAGACATGTTTTTTAAAAAGTTGAAAATTAATTTAATATTAAGTAAACTGCAAATTTTGCATCATAATGATCATAATTTATAGTATAGTAATAATAACCATATACTACATTTGTTTATTAAAAATAAATATATTAAATATATTATGAATAATTATATATTGAATATATATTTAAAATGATGATTATTATTATTAATAAAAATGTAATATTAATAGTTATTTAATATGTGATGTTTGCATTCTGTTTGTGCCATTTTTTTATATTACTACTGTTAATAAAGATCACAAAGTAAAGTGCAATCAATTTTATATTGTGTACATGTGCATTATAATTATTGTTTGTAATAATATTAATATAGTAATATTTAATTTATTTATTTAATGTTTTTTACTTGTACATTATTTAATCTTTTTTTACTCATGTGCATATATATATATATATATATATATTCTTTTTGAAAACAAAGAAACACTATATATATAGTAAATATTCTCTCTCTCTCTGTTTTTGCCTCTGCTCTGGAGTGTTCTGTGGGAGGATCAGTGGGAGCGCAGCGGTCGGGATGTGAAGCTGAAGCTGAAGCTGAAAAATGTAATATTAATAGTTATTTAATATGTGATGTTTGCATTCTGTTTGTGCCATTTTTTTATATTACTACAAGATCACAAGATCACAAAGTAAAGTGCAATCAATTTTATATTGTGTACATGTGCATTATAATTATTGTTTGTAATAATATTAATATAGTAATATTTAATTTATTTATTTAATGTTTTTTACTTGAACATTATTTCATCTTTTTTTACTCATGTGCATATATATATATATTCTTTTTGAAAACAAAGAAACACTATATATATAGTAAATATTCTCTCTCTCTCTGTTTTTGCCTCTGCTCTGGAGTGTTCTGTGGGAGGATCAGTGGGAGCGCAGCGGTCGGGATGTGAAGCTGAAGCTGAAGCTGCTGCTGCTGGACTCTCAGTGTGCGCTGAGGCTGTATGAGCTGGATCCTCAGGGTCAGCCGCAGCTTCTGTGTGAGAGATCGTCTGAATCACTGCTGCAGTGCGTTCAACACAAGCACCCCGGTGAGAAAACTCTGATCGGTTCATCCTGAAGCTAGGGCTGGGCGACTCTTCCCAGTTACTCGATTCATTCGAAATTAAATGTTTTGCCACGATTTTACTTTTTAGGAATCGAGGAATCACGATTTTGAATAGAAATATTACCAAACGTTAGAATTAGACACTTTGACATTAATATGGCAATGATAACATAAAGAGAAAAGAACGATCCAACCACGTGTGACGTGCTCATATCACACAGAATGCGCTTTTGTGTTGAGAAAGATGCGACGCGTGCAGAGCAACAGGAAAAACATGCAAGAATATGGGAGTGAACTTCTTTAACTTGAGCGGCGTGTTTTTAGACTGTCGTTTCATGCATGAGACGCTGCAAGAGACACGAGCGCAACAGTCAAACACATCCATGTTTACACAGAAAAAACAATGCGAATTTAAAAAAACTGCATCATGGTGACAGGCTGCTGTTGTTTTTACAGAACATTTATAGATAATAATAGGCTACTGGTGTTATACCTGCAGTCATTTTGAATTTGAAAATTAATTTAAAGCATTTTCCTTGCATTATTTCTGAACACACAAGATGTAAAAGACAAGTTTGTGCAATTTATAGTTGTAGTCCATGCATCATTTCTGCAAAGATATTTAACAAGTGATTTGTTTAACATTTACATCATGTTGACAACTTCATGTGTGCTGAACTTGGAATAGAATTTTCTCTAACTAGAGGGTTAGTAAAGAAAAAGCTACTCGAATCATGTTGTAATTACATTTTCAAGTTGACTCGTAAAAAATCGATTATCGGCCAAGTGTTCTGTATAAATCGAGATTTAATTTTTTTTGCCATATGTGGTGAGCCTGGACCACAAAACCAGTAACAAGGGTCTTGTTTTATACACCATCTGAAAGCTGAATAAATACTGTTATAAATAATAAACTTTCCATTGATGTATGGTTTGTTAGGATAGGACAATATTTGGCTGAGATACAACTATTTGAAAATCTGGAATCTGAGGGTGCAAAAAAATCTAAATATTGAGAAAATCATCTTTAAAGTTGTTCAAATGAAGTTCTTAGCCATGCATATTACTAATCAAACATTAAGTTATGATGTATTTACGGTAGGAAATTCACAAAATATCTTCAAGGAACATGATCTTTACTTAATATCCTAATGATTTTTGGCATAAAAGAAAAATGTATAATTTTGTCCCATGCAGTGTATTGTTGGCTATTGCTACAAATATCCCCCAGCGACTCAACACTGCTTCTGTGCTCCAGGGTCACAAATATACCCCAGCGACTTGGTTTAGTGCTCCAGGGTCCCTAGCGTCCCGCTCTCATCAAGCCCTGATCTGTTGATCCTGAAGCGCTGTGTTTGTGTGCAGACGTGCCGGAGCTGCTGTCGCTGAGGCCGCTGTGGTTCGCTGACGGCTGCTGTGTGCTGCTGCTGAACACATGTCTGCTGCTGCAGCTCCGCTGGACGGACGAGACGGCGCAGCTGGAGACACTGTCCTGCGTTCGGCTCGCTTCACCTCTCCAGATGGAGGATGCCTGCGCCGACTGCCGGCTCTGTCGGGGAACACTCTTCATTCTGCTCAGGACTGGACTCGCATGTATCCTTCAGCGTATGAAGCACATAACATGCTCATTATCAGCCAAATATCCACCGGATAGAGAATACACGACACCATGTCGTTCTCTGAACCACAAACTGACTCTTCAGATTAGATTTTTGTTTATGTACAACCATTTGAACATATTTTGGTTGTGATTGTACATAAATCAACCAATTGGACACGACTGGATGACATTTCAAATATTTATTATGTTTATAATAATAGTAATAATAATATATTCAATAGTATATTACAATATTATTTCAAACTAATATTAAATATATAATAATAACAATTATTTCTGTATGTATTCTTATACACACACACACACACACACACACACATATATATATATTAGTGCTGTCAAACGATTAATCGCATCCAAAATAAAAGTTTTTGTTTACATAATATGTGTGTGCACTGTGTATATTAAGTATATATAAATACACACACATGCATGTATACATTTAAGAAAAATGTTACGTTTATATATAAAATATATTTATATATTATATAATTCTTATGAATATAAATATATACATGTAAATATTTTCAAAATATACACATGCATGTGTGTGTATTTATATATACTTAATATACACAGTGCACACACATATTATGTAAACAAAAACTTTTATTTTGGATGCGATTAATCGTTTGACAGCACTAATATATATATATATATATTATATTAATAAAAAATGTACAGTACTTTGTAATATTCATAATAATAGTATTTGATATTATATTATTTAATATGTAAAGTCTGCACTTATATATAACATTTTAACTTACTGCAGCTGTATATTTGTATATTATTATTATATTGTCTATTGTTTTTAAATACTGCAAATATTATATTAATAAGAATGTACATGCAATTAAGATTTCATTACATTTAAAAAAAAATTAAAGAGAGAAATATCTGTGACTTTTAAAGTCAGTACAAGAAATGCTATCATAATGTACTGTATAAATACTTTAATTATAAATATATAAATACAGTTATTTATTTTTGCATTACAATATTAAGAATTTGGCAGTTAAATGTGCTTAATTTTCTTTTGATTGTGTTGGAATATGAGCTGTTACTGGTTTCTTTAACGCTGTGTGTCAGATGTGTTTGACAGCACTGATGGGAAGCTCTTGGCTTCAGTGGATTTCGCCTCATACTGCAGTCTAGCAGACGTCTCATGTTTCTGTCTCTTCCAGATCTCACAGGATCTCAGTACAGCTGTGAGCATCACCCGGCAGAACCAAGCCCTCGCCGTCGACCTCAACCACTACTTCAGGTGCACACACCTAATGACACTCTGCTGTTTGTGCCACTTACTTCTTTCTATTCTTATCGATTTATTTATTAGTTTTCCATTGCAAGCATTGCCATTAATTGCAGCTTTATGACATTATTTAGTTTTCTAGTGTTATTAAATAGCGCCCAGTGAAGTAGATCTTCCATTATTTGTTCTATACAACCAACTGTATTTAATGTATTGTGCCCACAATTTAATGACTTTTTTTTTTAAAGATATATGAAAGCATTTTAACATAGTTGCTACTTGTGCATTTATTTGATCAGCAGCTTCTAGCCATGCAGCCTTTCTCTCTTTTATTTGACTGCTGTACCTTTTATGGTTATTAATAGAACATTAAAACATTACAATCTAAAATTGCTCTTTAAAGCATAGAAAACACTAAATTAAAAGTTAAAATCACTGAATTAAAAATGAAAATAAATAATAGAAATCGTACTACATTTTTAGCTGATAAGAGGAACACACATTTAACTCATTTGAGATAGTAATCAGTAACGTTGATTATTTTGATAGCAGTAACTGTAAATCAAAATAGAAAACACTAAATTAAAAGTTAAAATCACTGAATTAAAAATGAAAATAAATAATAGAAATCGTACTACATTTTTAGCTGATAAGAGGAACACACATTTAACTCATTTGAGATAGTAATCAGTAACGTTGATTATTTTGATAGCAGTAACTGTAAATCAAAACAAAATATAAAAAATACACTTATATGTAGGATAAAAAATCTACACGTGTCACATTTAACGTCCAACAACAAATATTTTAGCAAAATGTATATTGTGCTCAAAATTATTGCGCTATTATTCTATTGCGCTCCGTCTGTTTTCGTTCACTCCTGACAGCAAAATGGATATATTTGCATGACTTTCTAACATTTACAGATGAAGAATATTACTGTGACGTGTCAGTTATGCACTGAAGAAAACACAACTTCTCAAATGCATTAAACAGCACTAATATAATCGCTGTTTGCCATGCTCGATCCATTTGATCAACATTAAGAATAAGCGTGCACATCAAATGATCTTGACTCACTGGATCGAATTAGTGAGATTGCATGAAATTAAATTGTCGTTTATGAAACCGCTTTAGTCCCGATTGATTTGTTAGGTTATTTCAACTTAGCTATTAGACTTTAATCCCCTCTTTTCTTAGCGTCTTTTATGAAACCGCCCCCTGATCTATTTCTTATTGTTTTTTT